TTTTTTTCATCAAACGCATGCGACGATACACATAGCAATGATATTCGTTAGCGTATATACAGTCTCATATGCACGCAACGAAATACAATTCGTTGAACGCAGGCGGCTACACATGTATATCTTTTTTCACTGCGATGCGTTCACTTCGATGAAACTAACACCAAAAATAGAGTAAAGTAGAGTGCGTAACTCATTTTGAGGGGTAAAGTCTCTACTTACACCTCAAGTGCGAGTAAGCGTACTCTAATACTTGTTTCTGTGTAGGAGGGTTAATAAAAAAAACCTCACTAAATAAAAAATGGACGAATATAAAGCATGTAAGTATATTCATACGTTCGAAAATAGCATTTTTGTATTCCATTTTTCATAACTGTAAATAGATATCGATCAATTACCGCAAAAAATCACCGAAATGCTCGAAACGCTTGATGACGAGCCAACCGAAGAAGAAACTCTTGCTATCAACGAAGCACATGCGGAACTAGAAAGTAATATTCAACAAGTCAAGCAAGAGATCTCATCTATCGATAGATGAATATTTGGAACATATGCGAAAATTGAGCGAACGTTTGAAGAATGACCCTAATGCAGATGCTGAGGCTTTGGTGGCAGAAATCTTGCAATTATATCACATTGAAAGCCCATGTGGTGCAGGTATGATTATGATTTATGTAAATGTGCTGTAAATAGACTAATAATCTCTCTCCCTCTGTGTAGCCAGCATGAGCAGTAATTTTGGTGCATCAAATGAGACGATCAACAGGAATGGAACCAATGAAACCAACAAGTCAGATAAATCCAATTTATCCAATGAAAATAACGAGTTCAAAAACTCCAAAGATATCGAAGCAACTGAAACCATTGATAAAATTAGGGAGCATACAAGAAAAAGAGTTGCCAATAAGTTTGCCATAATTTTGATTTATAACAGGAATTACACATTTTGCAGAGCATGAAAATAATGACAGCTCGGCAACGCTTTATTAGAGATTAGTACCGCTGGCAACCGCAGAACTATATAGAATTATATGAAGTAATTTGGTGGCGTTAGTAAGCAATGTTGTCTCATTGCCATGCTTGGACATTTTGTAAGACATGACAAAGATTTTTTAAACTATTTGCATTGAAACAAATATCATTTTATATAATAAAAGTCAAATAAACAACTATCATACTTTTTTAATCGCAATTTAGTTTTAATTAATTGAAAATTGTCTTCGTTCCCATTTGATGATGTCAAACATCAACATAATTCCACTCAAATTGCGAAAAATGTGAAGTTAAAATAATACGTTAATTGTCTACTTGGATTTGAAAAATTGACTAATCGGCTTAAGCTTAAGCAACCAATTTGTAACGTTTTTCACCCATTCAAACGTTGAGAAATGTAACGCTTTGACCCATTTTGGTGGTCATTTTCGTGTTAAATAAACGATAGATTATGTGTGTAGTTTTCACATTCCACAGCACAATGTGAACCCGAACCAACACAACGTTACAACAACAACAACAACAACAATCATTTATAGACCGATTGTACCTTTCGGTGTGTGGTCTTTTACGAAACGATTAGACTCAAATTCCTCTAACAATTCCTCTCCAAACTTCCCTATCGAGAGCCAGGTCTTGAGTTTCTCTACACCAATCATACCCTCTAACATCCAAATCACATTTAACCGAATCCAAATAACGTCTTCGGGGTCTTCCTCTGTTTCTCGGTCCATGCTTCGGCAAACAAAATCTTCTTTGGCAAACGCAACTCACCCATACGTTGGACATGTCCAAACCATCTCAGTCTCGACATTGACAAATTGAACACAACGTTAAATTTTAATTTTGTATTTCAATTCTAATGATTCATTTGTCGCTTTAATGATTCATTTGATTTAAATCATGTTTTGAATATAAAGTATTTATATATATAGATAAATGAAATGTATATCGCTGCATATGAGAGAATTAAAATGAGAGAACAGAGGAATTCTTTGGTGTAACAAAAGAAGAAAGTTCACCATTATTAACAAGATCAAAGCTTCAAAAAAATAAATATAATAATTCTATTGTAAGAGTATTATTTTTTAGCTAAAAATATTTCAAGAGGAGAGTATCTATTTGGGCGATTGTTTTAATATGAAAAGGAGAGAAATACTTTCCACATCAAAATATGTCCAAGGAGAGTAAGTTTTAGTTCATATTCGTTCGAGGGTACGTGATTTAGCCAAATTTTTCTATATAAAGAAAGAATTAAATAGAAGAGGAAATAAGAGAGATTTCAATAAGAATGTCCTTTATTTTCAGGAGACAAATTTTTGTTGTCACGAAATCAAAATTACCAATACCGTGCTATTTCGTCTCATTTCAAATGAATAGTCAGCTCAATATAATGTCTGAAACACAAAGCTACATTCATAAGATTAGTTTTAACAAACAAAATAAACATTTTTGTTTTTAACTCATCAGTGAGTGAAATAATTCGATAATACCAATGTCTGAAAACATTACATATTACAATCGAATTAAAAAATAATGACATTTGATTAGATATAGCATTTTTAGTATACATCAAAATATTTTAGACGGGAGAGTACATCATTCACTGAAATACTTTGCATCGTTCAAGTACACAGAAAAAAACTTTTTCTGCACAATTACGTGATACAATGCAATTATACTGTTATTACTCGCTTTTCATGTTCGCTCGTTGTTCCATTATTTGTGATACTTACTTGGTTCACATAGAAATATGCAAGATTATCCAGGTTCACTTTTATTATTCACAACAGTAGCAGCAGCAACAGAACATTTGCAATTGAAAGTGCACAATACATTTCAAGCGATACAAATAGAATTTTTGCCATTAAAGTGGTCACTGTGTGTTCATTTTTTTTTTGTTTCCTCACTTTCTCTTCTATACTTCAAATTTATGAGATGAAGTGGTACAAAAGCTTGAATCGCATTACGTTTGGTGTAACTAGAATGTTGCTACTTTTAATTAAGTGTTGAATGTGGGAAATTATTACTTTTTATATTAACTACATTGAACGTTAACAGGTACTTTATGTAATTGAGAGCCAAACAAAAAACAGGATACATCTCGCAGTATACCATGAAACAAAGGTCTTTCAATATCTTCATAAATGGACAGAATTCAATTGTTTAATATTTTTTGTGTGGTTCGTACAAATTGGCAAATGGTTCAAGATGTAGGGGTAAGTTTAGAAGACGTTATTTGGATTTCTCTCTAAATTGTTCGACAATTCATCTGATAAATTCGATTATATGATTTTTTCATTTCTCTAAAAAATTAATAGTGATTTTTTAAAGTTAAACATCAATTTTAACCAGTGAAGTGAACCAAAACCAAACCATTTCATCCCGTGTTTTCTCTATGTGCCTTTGAAATGGCACGGACGCAGAAGTCTGCACCTTTGCGTATATGTATAAAGAATCAAAGAGATGTGAGAGTGTAGCTATGTATGTGTATCTGTGCGACATTAGTTGCACGTCTGAATACAAGTGAACAGTATCATCATTGAATACGCAAAGGTGCAGAGTACTGCGATTGTGCTATTTGAAAGGCACAACGAAAGAACACGGGATTGGTTTCACTTACCGAACGAACCGGAGCAATCGGAACGTTCCGACAATGGTTTACACTGTGCAGTATACACACGACCGTACAACGGTTCACACAAAACGAATTCCGAATGTATGAGAAATGTCAAACCGGTTCACTTTCACTGATTTGAACCCTCTAATGCATTTATTTTTGGCATAAATGGTTTTACGATCAGAAATGGGGATTGCTTGTTTAAAATGGGAAAACGCTTGTTAAAAATTGGATTTTTTTTTCTAAAAATGGGGAAATTCTTGATAAAAATCTGATTTTTTTTTGTCAAAAATGGGGAAATGCTTGATAAAAATCGGGAAATTGCATGTTAATAATGGAAAAATCGCTTGTCAAGAAATAGGAAAATGCTTGTCAGCGATGGGAAAATGTTTGATAAAAATCGAAAAATGCTTGTTAAAAATGGAAAAATCTCCATAATTATAAAACCATAAGTTCGAATTTGATATTTTTATATAAAAAGTATATCGGAAATTCATTGTACCTCAAAACTAACGTCAGATTCGGGTTTTTCACTTTTTGTGAATTTGAAGAAAGTGCTTGAAATTTTTCAAAATTCGATTTTTTTTTTTAAATTCCTGGATCTGGCAAGAGGGAAATTCCTGGGTCTGGCGTATTTATTTTCAAACCGTTGTCATAGTCGTGTTTCTATAACCATCATACAGAGGTTATGGGGGTACGATTTTTGATTCTCTCAAAAATGTCAAAATCGAACCACTCTAACGTGCATTCACCCAATTTAGAGACATTCATGCCACAGCAATGAAATCCCTACTAAAGAGCTAGATGGTGGCGACAGTGTTGATGGGATTTTTAAATTTATTTGCACGACGCCATGTCACTATACTTGTCCATTAAAACGTTCATACAACAGACGGAATGTTCACTATAGTGGACTCAAACGATTTGAACCGTCAATGTGATCAAGTATAGAACTATAGGATCATATACGATGAATATGGATTACAAAGTATGTTTTATGTATTATGTTTAAATGTTTTTGAAGGAGATGGAATGGAAATTATGAAAATAAACTTCGATCAAGCTAGTTGACTACGAATATAATGTTTTCCTTCCGAACCTCAGACCAAGTTTGAATAAAAATAAAAATGGGAGAGAGTTCTTAGAATGGAATACAAGACCGAACGAGCGCGCGTGCGACTGAAGGTCTTGTATTCCATTCTAAGCACTCTCTCCCATTTTTTTCCGAACCCCGAAGCCAAGGTTGATTGAAAATAAAAATGGGAGAGAGTGCTTAGAATGGAATACAAGACCGAACGAGCGCGCGCGCGAGTGAAGGTCAAAAAGTGCGCGCGCGTGACAATCAAAACGCCGAATAATAAAAGAAAAAAGTGTGCTTCAAGCTAATTGTTGTTCAATTTTTGCAGGTTCTTCAAAGAAAGGTTGCGATAGATACAGAGGTAAATCGAAAAATGATCAAAATGTTTTTATCACCACATGGAAATTTGACCTTGAGTCAATCCGGTACAAGTGTCCGATTGCTTGCAATGATATGTCGGTCCTTGAACACTATCGCCAGCACAGTGAAACAATTATTGATGCATTCAAAAAACGAGCACAATATGTGATCGAAAATGCTCGGCATACGAGTTTGGTGCGTTATTTGGATGTAAATTGTCACATATCAAACGGAATGCTAAACGTTGATTTGGTGCAAGAATATGTTGAAGGTAAAAGCGTTGGATCGCTATGGGAACACGGAATTTTGCCCAATCTTCCAGCGATTGCAAAACGATTGGTGATCGCAATTGAGTATTTGCATCGAATGGATCCAAAAGTGACGCACGACTATTTGAACTACGAATCGATATTTTTGAGTAAATCATCTGTCTATATGATTGCAGATTTTCATTTGGTGCCATATTTGATGTATTTGCAGGGCACACATTCGATGGAAAAAATGCACGATATCGATGCGGTTGGATCGTTGATTCAGTCAAAATTCAAAGCCGTTCAGTATTTTGCCAACAATTTCATTGAAGAATGTCATCAATCGAAATCGCTTCCATTTTCCAATTTACTTGCTCATGAATTTTTATCAAATGTTCACATTGGAGAATCGAATACCATTTACAGCGGACCGATGCTCAGCCATTTTCAAATTGAAAAAACACTTGGCAAAGGTTCTTACGGTTGTGTAATTAAAGCCAAATATCCAAATAGCAAGGAGTCGTTTGCATTAAAATTAAACAAATTACCGAATGGAAGCAAAGGACGATATGGAAAAGTTAAGCGTGAAGAGGTCATAACGAAAATGAATCATGAAAATATTGTGAAATATATTACAAGCTGGGAACAAACGGCCAACACACATGAACTAGAGAGAGTTGGCATTAAATTTGAAAAATCCAGTTCAACGGAGACGACAGCCTCGGAAACAGCATTGCCGTCTTCGGTTCCCAAATCCGATTTACCCACTGCTGATCAGTAAGCATTTTATTCAGATTAAAGGGATTTACATACAACATTTATCGATTCTTTTTTATTTGCTTTTTTGATTGTTTGTAGAAAATCATCCGGCCCGAACTTCAAAGACATGA